TGTAGGGAGCAGCATCAGAACGGACCTGGGTTCGAATCCCGGGAAGGCATGGATGTTTCTTTCTCTCTCTGTGTGTTCTAATTCCTTTCTCCTTTGTGTGTGAATGCCCTATAAACGGGTTGTGGTTGTGTGAACGGCGTGGCAGAAGTCGAATTTCTGGCCATAGATGGCGCCACTGAAAAACAGGAAAAATCACTCCCCACTGCCTAAAACAGGCATACGACAGAAAAAAAATAATTATAGGGGTCTCCAGGACCTCTAGGACCACCTAGTGAAAGTGGAACTGATGAAACCAAGGTATTTCTGCCACACATTCAATGTAAAAAAAAATGCCTCCCAAATCTATTCTAATATAAGTAATAAGAGAACTTTGATAACACGTGGAACATTATTTAAAATTTATTTTTGTATATATTCACTGGCTTAATACTGACTGAAATTCAATGGATTATGGGGGATAAAAAATATATCGACAGTAAGTATTTCTAATAATTTGACTCCTTATAGTGATTTTTATGCGTAGGGTGTTCTTTAATTACCACCTTCAATATATAATCCAATTAAAAATGAAGTAAAAAATAGACATATCTAATATTGTAAATTATTATTTAAGTAATGAAAAATTAATATCGTAATCAGAATATGACGGATCACTTTGAAATCAAACAGGGTTGCAAACACCAAAAATAGTTAAATTATCTAATGAAGCTTTTTCCACAGCGTGGAACTTGCTCTTTGCTCTTTTCTTTGTTATAAATACGATTTTTTGTAAAATTCAAATTGGAAGTAAGCTTCTCATTTTAATACAAAATATACTCGTACCGACAGTATTTTTGTCACTTTTTCACCAAATAAAAGTTTAAGTTAAATATATATTACGAAATTAAGCATTTAGTTTGTGCATTTTAAGTAAAAAAAATCAAATCACATCAGTAGGAATATTCCCTAAGTTTGTAAAGAGAGCACATGCATTTTATTATTTTTTAAAATTCAAAATTTTTCTCAGTAGTTTGATTTATGAATTTATCTACAGTAAAAAAATATTTATTTATAAATAACTGAAAATTATAAATTAGATCAATCGAAAAATCAACCGTTAAACGATAAACTTATCAAAAGTTGAACAAATTTGAAGAGCGTTCCAAAAGCTAGTGAGCAAGGGGCATGTCTCCCCATTATCATTGAAAGATTATTATCTTTTAAATAATAATAATAATAATAAAAACTATATATTCTTGAAAAAATATTGACTAGCTGGTACTATAATAAATTCTAGCTAAGCTTCTGAGCTAAAAAATTGTATCTATTCTTTTTATCAGTATATAATAATCGTTAAGATTAAAATTAGTTAAATTTATAATTCTTTATAATAATATTTATATTATAATTTTCACTTTTTGTTAAGTAACAATAAAGTTTTTGTTTAATTAAATTATAGACATAGATTTATAAACTTGCTTGCAAATATATACCCGAATTTGTGTTTGGAAGTTTTATATTCTATAATTCTTATATTCAATAAATTCTTACATTCAATTTTGAATTAAGAAGAAATGTTACAACAAATCACTTTATCATAAGTATACATATCTACAGAATAAAAAATCTTACTGTTCAGTAAATGTGAAGTTTAAAAAAGTATCTTTATCATTAATTCCCTTTAGCATTGTTTTTTGCTACTTACAATTTAGATTTATTAAATTCTTTTAACTTGAGATGTTGATCAACGACATTACCTTGAATATAAAGCAGACGATCCTAAATTTTGTAAATCTAAAAAATATAATTTTATGAATTTCAAATTCTTTTTTTAATATTATGATTATTCAAACTTATACCATACAACAACACCAAAATTTTTCACATTATTTTAAAAACTATAGTACAAACAAATACCTGATTTTAATGAGTTCTAAAAGTTTGTAATTCTCTAATTTTCTTTTTTGACAATTAATCAAAATCGTTTGCGAAATAATTGTGTGATATTGATTTCTCATTTCGAGTAGTTTCAAAGATAAATAAATTAAATTGCATCATGATAATAGACATTCGTTTTCCAATTCGAGCAACATGACTTTTGTTATGAATAGTGGTCTTAGATTAATGCTTAAATATTTTGTGCAAATGAACGTGTTAAAATATTCATTATAAAGAATGCTTAATCTTTAATTGAAACAAAAAAATATAGCATAAAAACTAGAAGGAAGTTGTAGAGGTTATGAAGTTTAAGAACAAGTAAGTGGTCATTTATTAATCATTAATGTGCAAATTTTTATATAATTTTTTTCATTATATTTTGAATAAAAAATTACTTTTTTATAATTAAGGTGTCATTTATATTGATAAATTAATTTTAATAAATATATGCAATTTTTGTTGGCTATACATACTCTTTTGTTAATTTAAGCACAATTTACTTATCCTGTATGCATTTTAAAATTATTTACTATTTTTCTAAATTTTTACATTTAAATATTTCTACGACTTAATTTTATTAATTTCGATTATATTCTTGTTTTGTGTAATAATATTTCTCTAAATACGGAATAACATTGTAGTCTTCGTATCCTTCTCCGCTTCCGTAAAAAAAGTGAATCAATATTTTAAATACTAAATAAAGATGCATACAAAATTTTATTTGAGTTTTAAATATAACTTTAATCTATTTTATATTTAATATGCATATTACTTTCGTTTTTATATGAAAATTAGCAATTTAAAAGAATTAAGAGCTGCAAAAATTTGATTTTCGTGCATGAAAAATTTTAAACATTGGCAAAATAAATTCATAGGAAAATTTTTTAATTATTCGAAAATTTTTTGTTTAAAACAAAAATGTTAAATGATGCCGATTGGTTGCTTTTTTTTATTTGAATAAATTTATTTTGAGTGGAATTGTATACCTGTATTTAAGTTTGTAAAAATATTAACTTTATTGTAAAAATATTAACTTTATAAAAATGAATTTTTTTTATAATTCATTTTATTTATGACCAAGCACATATTCACATTTTCCACTGAGCAACTTTCTAACTGCAGTTTTCAATAATGCAGAATGCCTGTTTAAAAAGTTAAGAGAAATCTGTTTATGAACATGTTTTGCATAAATAAATGACTGTTTATTATGATAATTATTTAACAATTACGATACGGCTGTGCAGGAAAGTTGAAATAAATCCTCATCTTAGTTAATATGTTAGAAAAGCGGTGATAATTTTTAGAAATATCTCTATTTTATGCACATTTTGTTTTTAAAAAAAATTGGTGTCTGTTTTAGGCATATTTGCTTCAATTAAAATCTACCACAGTTTCAGTAATAGAAAAGAAACTGAATTAATTTTCTTTTATTTATTCATTTTATTTTTTAATTATTAATCTTTTTTTTGGTAATCAAATTTCAAATTTGAATACATAGGTATTACTCTCCTGCTCATAAAATTTTACAAACTTCACTTTATGATAGTAAGACGCCTTATATAAAAGAAACTTTTAAGGAGAATGAAACTATTTTTCCATAATCGTTTAATAGCTTAATCCTCTACAAATAGTGTTTCAATACACCTCTAGGTCTCATCCTGATTCATGCTTATTATATTTCTACATAAAGATACTTAAAATGTTGTGCGCAGCAGAACAAGTAATTTTTTAACAGTAAAGTAATTGAATATATGTTTTCATATTTTACCTGCAGATGTGAGAATTCAAGAATTTGTGTTTAATTTTATTCACAAAAAAAGTTTCTGTTTTCAAAACTAAAGCCACTCCACCCAAGGTGGACTGCATCCCACTATTTCTTGTATAGCAAATGCTGATAATATCATGACTTGTTTGTTGGTAATAAATTAGTTAATGTATTTCTGGTCAACCTTTCAAACCAAAGTTTAAAATCTGATCATTAGAACAAAAGTTATTTAAAGTGATGCTTTTTTGTTCTTTTACTGTAGAGTGAAAAAAAAAATAAAGGATGGATCTGATGATCACAGTTTTTCACATACGGTGAGATCGAATAATAAATATTTCGTAGAATAAGTCTTAAATATTCAAATTGCTTAGAGCTACATTTTTAAGTCACGAAACTAGACAAAAAAAATTTATTTCCTCTGAATGCACATCCCTTTTTTATTGATTCACACTTCTGAATTCAAAATATTAGCAAGAGGGGAGGAGGAAGGAACCACAATCTGGAAAATATGGTTCGAATAATTCAGTCCGGAGTACGTTCAATAGTGGGTCTTTTCGAGTATTTTTCACGAATTTTTCAGAACACACCACTCACTAAGTCTGTTAATGATTTCTTGATTCAAAATTTTTGTATTTCTGCTATCCATCTTTTTTTTTAAATACTGGAATTAAGCAAGGGCAGAGCCTCTTAACTGTTTCAGTTTTATTGTTTATGTTTGCCTTATGTCCTAAGTATAGTGCGGCTTTCAGAACTCCTCCAGACACCCGTCTCGCGTCATAGCTGCTACTATGGCTATGAGGACAAGACATTTCGAATAGGGGTATAGAGTTAATAGTTTTGTCTTAATTTTGGCATAGGGCATCGTGAGTAAACCAGTCGACACCTTCTTTCCTCCATTTCACCCCCATCAGAAATGTGCTCTCACTTGTTACCATAGTAGCAGACAGTCTCAGACTTTTAGTCTGGAGGAGTTCTCCTCAAGTTCTGCTTTGGGCAAAGGGAAAATCATTTCTTCTTTTTTTTTAATATTTAAATAACAAAGATGAAGAAAACATTTACGCTTTGGTTTTAAGCTCGGTTAACATTCAATAATAGAAGGGACTATTTGTTCGAAAACTTCTAAAACTAAAACCAGCAATTCTGGGAGGGGAATGTACACCTTTTTTTTCCCGCTAGAATAAATTAAATAAAAGAAAATTATAGCTTATAACATTTTAAGATATATCATGTTTCTTGATAGTTGAAGAAAGTGCACACTTTTTTGATATTTTTTAAAATTTTATAGGTAACCAGAAATTAAACTGACTAATTCAAGAATATGAACTGGGTTGGAGGAGCTAGAAGTCGTGTAAAAGCGGAAAATGATAAGAAGAAACAACGAGAGTTTTTCGAGAAGCAAAGAAAAAAAACATCTTCGAGCAACGTTAATGAATCCTTGTCCGTATCTACATTAAGTCACGATTTGATTACATTTTATTTAAAACAACGGAATTTAAAGAAAGGCAGCGTTCCTTCCAAACCCTTAAAAATGATGAAACAAAACTTAGATAAGAGATCCAATTCCTTTGTCCTTCATGCAACTCTTCCATTACCTGAAACACCCTTAGAAGATAATCCAGTTTCGAAAAATAAAATTATGAAAAATTCTTGGGAAGCTCGCAATTCAAAATTTGAGAATGGGATTGAAACAGAAATGCGTTTCAATGGGCAGATTTCTCTTAATCAAGCAAAAACACATCAAACAAGTTCAGATTCTGAAATTAATATTGCGGATATTTATGATGTTGAAAACATTTCACGCGAATATGCTGAAAAGGATACCCCCGAAAATACGAATGACCTCGTAAACCAATCTGGAAATGGTGTTTTAGAAGACAGCTTCTTTAAAACCGATAGGCAGTTTATGGACATTTCCAACGCTTGTCGTGACGATGTAGCCGACGTTGACCAATTGAAGAGAGCTGGTAAAGTCAATGATAATTTCCGGACAAGTAGCGAAAATGTCAAATTTTCCCCAAATAAAAAAGATACGAATGCTTTTTTTGACATTTTTTTGCATAAGACATTGAAGGAAATTAATACTGAAAAACCTTTTCGTAGTAAAATTTCACAAAACCAAAATCGATCTAAAAAGAAAATGAAAATATTGGATAAAATGAACTCTTATCTTAATAACCATGAAAAGAAGAAGAAGAGTTTAAATGCTGTTTTGCATAAATCCAAATTATCGTATTCAAGAATTAGTCAGTGTACGGTTGAGTCAATGCCTTTAAAAGTGTCAAGAGACATGGGACGGCCTTCGATTGCTGAACCGACATATGATTACCGTCGAAGTTTAGATGACCTGGAAACCATGATTGAAAATTGTGACCTTAAACTTAAAAAGCGCAATAAGAGCCATGTTTACGATACATTTTGGACAGCTCACAAAGGAGACAATCATGACATAGCCAATATGTCTTCAAATGTACAACTATCTTCAACAGATTCTACATCATCATCCTCATCTCCTTCAACTATTTTCTCTTGCGCACACATGAACATTGATCCTTTGCACCCAACAAAATACATGCCGAGTTATGAAATGTTTCAAGCAAGTCTCAAACAATCTGAAACTTTAAAAGTGAAAAACGGCACGCTAAGTCACCGAAAGAAATTTAAACTTTCCAACACTCATTTAAAAGACTCATTTGGATTTGAATCAGATTTTCAGAAAAAACTTAATCCATACGGATTTGACCACGCAAATAATAGCAAAAGTAAAAATATACAAAAACCCTCTTCCGTATTAAGTTATTTCCCTTCGCCCATGGTCGTAAGATTGCAAAATCTACAAAATGCGAATCCTGCCTATTTAATTCAAAATCCACTAAACAGAATTAGTAATGAATCATCGGGTCTTTCCTCAAAGACTCTGACTTCACGAGACGAGCAAAATATGAGCAACGTTACTTTAGATATAATTCCGAAACCCAAAATAGATGTTAGCATTCACAGTCCATTTGCTAGATGCACTGGTGAATTATCAAAACTTCCTTCAAGAAATCTTAGACGTCCAGATCTACCGAGTTTTTGTCAAAGTCCTTTAAGTCCATTTTCTTTCCATCCAACAACTAACATTAGCTGCAAAAAGTTCTCAAGGCAGAACATGGAGGAACCAACAGAGTCTTCGTCAAATGTTCTAACGACATCTCAGGATTCCCAAATCAACCGCATTTCTCCAAGAAAAGCTCCTAAGAATAGAAACTTAAATATAAGTATTCAAAATTCACCAATGCCAAGATTTAAACATTCACAGACCACTCCAACAGATGTCTTGAAATCACTATATGAACAAACGACCAACACAAACTCAATAGATTCGAAAAATTCAACAAGAGATTATGATGAGTCCTCAGGTAAATATACTTCTACTTCTACTCAAACAAGATTTGAAAAAGTAAACGTTTTTACTGAAACAGCTACATTAAACTATTGCCCAACTTGCAGTGCTTCAAAAATAAATGCAGGAACAAGTCCTTTCCTGAACTTAAATATCAATGCAAGCAATCGTACAAAAGAGAACTTTAACTGTTTTACTAACGGTGGTAACGCAGAAAAAGTATCAGCATGCACTACAAAAAATCAATTGGATATTTATTCAAATAGTGAGTGTGCTAAAAATAAAAACTTCATGGCGTTATCTGATCACGATCAAAATCACCTAAAAAATTGCAATCCCTATACTAATTGTAATACTCAGCTTGAAACCGATGGAAATGGAATAATTAAATACACCAAGGAAGAAATGCAAAATGAGTTTGAAAATAATAAAAAATTATCTTCAAATGCCAACAGTCCTGCCATGAATGAAGTTAATATTACAAGCAGCTATGTGGCAGATGAAAAACAAATGAAAAAATACTCAATAAGAGATCAATATCATTTAGAAAACAGCGGGATTATCACCAATATTGAAACTAAAGATGAACTAAAGGACAACACAAAAGAGAGTATTTGGAATGAAGAAAATATTTTGAAGACCTTTAAGTCAGCTGAGAAGCAGAGGGATCGATATTCAATAACAAATAAAAATCAATTAGAGAATAGCATAAATATCACTGGTATTGAAACTGAGGCTGAAACTAATGAAAGAACAAAAGGGAATGAAATTAACTCTCAGAGCAACTGTATGCTAGGGGAAAAACAATTGGATAGATATGCAATGACAAATCAAAATCATTTAGAAAATAACGTAATTATCACTAATATTGAAACTGAGGATGAACCTAGAAATAACACAAAATATGACACTAGTCTACCCCCTACAGAACCAAATAGTCCTGACATAACTATAGAAGGAACTATTGAAAAGTTTCCTTCAAATAATGCTTTAATATGCAACAATGAAGATCCTTTGCCTCCAACAGTTCCAAATATTCCTATTTTAAGTAGCAAGAATGATATCGGAGTTCTTAAAAATTGTTCACCAGGAACAATTGCTCCAAGAACTCCATTTTTACAGAAAGGGGTTGATTATACGGAATATTGTGAAAACTGTTCTTTTGGTTCAAGCGAAATTCGGGAAAGTAAAGAATTTCTTCAGTCAGGAAATGAAAAATCTCCTGAGCGCTTAAAAATGCTTGATGAAGAACATAAAGCAGGATCCAGTTTGCAAAATGCTCGGCAATTTTTTAATGCAATGGAAGAAGGCAACAGAAAATCTTCTGATCATGCCATTTTCAGCAATGCAAATAAAAAGTGCTTTGGTGAGAATATGAACAGCCTACCGAGACATGCAATACTAAATACTGATTTATCAAGTTTCAAACAGAATATAACCGATAAAGACCGTAGAAAAATTATTGAACGTTCTATGAGAGGAAATATGAGTAGAATGTTCTTTGACAAAAAAGAGGAAAATAATTCCCTTCATGAGTCAAAAAATAACTTTATCTTACCTTTCTCCCAACCTTCTTTAATAGCAATGAATAAAGGGTGCAAAACAATAGCTGACAATTCTAATGTGAATATTCAAGAAAAAATTATTGTGAACAACAATAAATATGATTCAGGGGGCCAGGAAAAAACTTCTGGCATATTCTCGTTTGCAAATTCTTTTTCAGAAACAGCTGATGGATGCTGTAGAGAAATAACCAGCAATTCTAAAATAAATATGAGAGAGTATATTATGGAAAACGATCAGAACACTTCAACAGGTCAGGCAAAAATTCCTGACGTACTCTCTTCAGCAAATTCGCCTCTAGACACCACAGAAGCAGACTGCAAAAAAATATCCGGGAATTCTGAAGTAATTATGAGGGAATATGTTTCGGAAAACGACGAAGACGCATCATCTGGCAAAGAAAAAAATTCCGACGTAGTCCCATTTCCTAATTACACATTAGGCACAACGGAGGCAAACTACCTAAAGGTATTTGGAAATTCCACAGCAGATATGAGGGTCCATTTTACGGAAAACCGTGATGACGCTTCCTCAAACCAGGCAAAAATTTCTGAAGTATTTTCATTTGAGAATTCTTCAAAAACAAAAGAGACAAATCACCCAAAAGTATCTGAAAATTCTGAGGTTATGCGAGAATACTTTGTTGAAAACGATGAAAAGACTTCAACTGCCCAGATAACAAATACTGACTTTGCGAATTCTTCTCTTAGCTCAACAGAGGGAGGAAGCAGAAATATCGATGATAATTCTGCATTTGAGAATGGAAAGGAAAATAACGAAAATAGCTCGGTTGATAAGGCGAAGAACTCTGGTACTCTTCCCCTCATGAACTATTCGGAAGAGTCTGCAGATTTAAGATTCGCTAATGAAAAATGCCGATTCATGGAAAACGATTTTTCTCGCCAAGAAATTCAAGTAAGTAAGAAAAAATACAGTGTCTTAGCAAAGATTGATAGATTCCTTAAATCTATGGAAAATAATAATTTTGATTCTGTGACCGAGGCTATTAATATAAAACAAAATTGCTTTTTGACAAACGAGGGCAATAGTTCAACAGACCACTGAACAAATATTGATGTTAAACTTTTCCCGGAATACATTGTTTAATATTCTGCAACTAAAAACAGGAACCATTGAGCCGCCAGTCATTTACGAATTTTAAAAGAAAAAAATGTAAAAAATTTATTTCTATATAAAAAGAAAAGGTAAAGTATAACTATATTGATGTTTTGTCAAGTACCTTGTTTCAAAGAAATACAGACTAAAATGTTAACAAATATTTTCTGAATCTAAATACAATTTGGCTTTATAATTTCTTGCAAAGAATAAAACATGTTCAAAATATCAATAGGTATGTTATTGTTGGTTAAAATTATTCAGTTATTCAAAATATTCTGTTCATTCTTAAGTATATAAATGTCTAGCAAGGCATTTTTTTATAAACTTTATTTTTTTATCAAAGTTAACATGGTTTAAAGTTACAAAGTTTTATCAAAGTTAACAAAAGCGGAAAAACAACGTGAATTCGTGAATAAATCAAAAATGGAAGTACAAAGAAGGATATACTGTAGTTTCGGTTCTATAAACACGAGCCTTCCTCAGTTTTTAAAAACCGAATGATGACTGAGAAGTAAAAAGTCGAACATGTGTAAAGTGGTTTAACCAATAGAAACAGAGAAACAAGTTTGAACAAAATAGCAGAAAAGGGAAGGAAACGGGTGTGAGGGGATTTGCCTGAAACTCTAAGGTACCCCTTTTGGCACCCGTGTTCCTCAGTAACAATCCATTAGATTTCGAACGCATTTTGTTTTTCTCACTTAAAACTTGTGAACCTCAATGCGTTAACTTGTTTAAGTTGTTTTACTAAGGATTTTTAAATTATATATGTCGTTATTTTTTAACGTTGATTAAGGCTGAGGCTTTTGACGGTTACTGTTCGAATAAATTTAAAAATACTGAATAAGCATACCTTTTTTCCTGACGGATTCAGATTTCAGACCCCCAGAATATTGGGAATTTTCGCAATCTGGGATATGTATCGAATTTTAAAAATAAGACTTTTAGATTTTGATTTTTCAGATACTCTTCCACGATTTCACTCAAATTTTGTTTTTTGCCATATAAAATTACATTTTTTGAAATAAAATTGCATAAAAAACAAATCAAATTGCATCTAATAAATTGCATTGCAAACAAAACAAATTGCATCTAAAATTGCATACAAAACAAAATTTTTTTTTTGTCTCTTACTAAATAATATAATAAAATAATAGTAATTATTTATCAAATTGTACTTTTACTGCATGGAATTATCTCTGAATGAACGAATTTTTTAATTGTAAGCAGGAATTTTTTCAATTCGCCTAAAACTTCTCGAGAAATGGCGAAATACGCAATAAAATAAAATAAACAATAAGGGGTCCAAACTTAAGACCGCTCTCCTGACCATGCTATTGGGACCATATGTCCCAAATTGCGGCTAATCCAATAATTTTCGAATCAGAAATCAGCAGATAAAGTACACTTTGTGCTTGATTTCATAATTTAAAATATCGTCTGCACTACTTAATTAACATATTTGAAGTCCCCCAGCTTGAATCATTAGATTGATTTCTAGAACGGGAAAATTTTATCATTAGATCCAAAGTTTTTCAGGGGAGGGGTACGTTTATTTTTTGCTCACTGTACATACACTGGTGTGCAAAACTTAAGCAACAAGTGGTTTTTCGGCCACAGCTATCCAACAAAGTATAAGATAGCCATGAAATTGCCGTATAATATACACGTAATTCAGTAGAAAGATTATTTGTATGCAAATTTTAGAGATAAAACGTCGTAGGTGATGTAAGTGTACTTAAACCTTGTGGGTCGGCGCGCGCAGGTCAAAGCTGTGATAAAAGGATGAAGAGCACCGTAGTTAAAGACATTTTCTGAAAGTGATTTGCTGTGAAACATGTCTTCAAGAAATCATTTAGACGACTTTACTCGAGGAAGAATGATTGGGAAGCTTGAGGAGGGGCGTAGTGTGACCAGCGTCGCCGAAGAGTTCGGGATCAACAAAAGTGTTGTTTCTCGTGCTTGGAATGCCTTTAAAACTACTGGTACATCCCTCTGAAATTTTAATAACCAA